AACTATTTACAATATGAAGTCATAAAAATGGGCTTATCTCTTAGATTACTCTTCCAGGAACATGGCTGCACTGACAGATACAAGCCTGCTCACAGTATCACACAGAGACACAATCTCTAGTGCCAGATGCATTATACGTATGTTAGTCCACACGGAATAAATCATGGTGTCTCAACATTTGATACAGGATTTTCACAGGCAGCACATGTTATTCTGTGGCATCTCAGGAATGCAGACTGATAATAAGGATAGGCCCCCAATTAGGATTCCGGATTCGTTGTGCATGAACTTTAAGTGAAGGATTTTCCTGGGCCATAGTTTGTGTAAATGAAGGGATTAGGCATAAGGACTCTTAGTATAAGCACAGTGAATCAGAGAAACACATATCACCAGACAGGGTTGGCTCAATCACCATTCTGATAGCTGCAGAACAAGGCTGCGATCATGTGGGCACACTGGATATCAGTTTATGAAACTTTCCTAATGTAGTCACGACAATGATAAATACGAAACAGCAAGGACTTGGTAAGGACTTTGAGCGACTGTTTAAACACCGCTCTCTGAGGAGACACTAAGTGATAGCCACTGACTAGGCCACGGCAATTGAAAATGGCTGCTGTGAGCTCGACTCATGAGCTCAAAGTTCAGAAGCCTCTGGGACACATTTACAGAAACAGAAAACAACATTAAATCTACTTCCAATTCCGGAAGGAGGTATCCTCCCAAGGCAAAGCCGTCTTTATCAGTTTGGCTTCTTTGTTTACTAAAGGCTGAGTAACTACAGCGTGTGCACCTTCCAGTTGAAAGCATCTTAACACATCCTTTGTTCAAAGAGTTAATTCTAAGATATCTTTATAATATAGAGAATAATAACTAGACATACAACTATTAGCTAGCAAATATTAACATTTTGCCATTTTAAAAGTTTTTTTTCTTTGTAGAAATTTGTTATAGCCACAGTTAAAGTTACACCCATGCCTGTTCTTTCCTCAAAACCATGATTTTCTAGGGTGTGTGTGTGTGTGTGTGTGTGTGTGTGTGTACACTGCTAAGTCCCCTTAGGCAGTTTTTAGTGAACTTCTCTACCCTTCTCGGTGACTATGTTTTCTGTGAAGCTCTGGAGTTTCCTTGACCGTGTAATCATGGACCCTAAGTGTGGAGGAACAATACCAAAGTAAACACATGCAATAATGTAAGACCAAGGCAAACGCATGTAGTGTAAAGAGTAATATGCCTTTATCTCAAATAAGGCAATATCTAATGGGAAGTAGGGGCAAAGGATAACATTTTCAGGTTCTTGATATTCTCATGGTAAACTAAGCATTGTAATGCATTCGGAAATGCACTGTGTTTTCCCAAACAAGATAGTAGCCCAGCTGCTCAAAGAAATGACCGATTGATTCACGTATCTCGCATTTGCCTTTGTCCATTCGTTCCTTTCTTCCTGCCTGCCTCCTCCCCTCTTAAGTCTTCTTCCTTGCCTGTCTTAAGTCTCTTTGCTCTGTTTCCCAGAATCCTTTGCTAAATAAACCATCAAGTCCCTATCTCATAACTGACTCTGATTCAAATAATTTGGGAATAAATTATCAGGAACTTTATTGCACAGTTGAAAAACATGGTCTAACTTTTGTTAGTTTTTGTTATTGAGACTGGCTTTGTGTTTTTAACATTTGATTTGTGTTTACAAAACATTTTGTATTTGAAAAGGAGTGTTCCCTCATTGCTGAGTGTGGATTGATACATATGTCACTTAGATCAAGTTTGTTAACTCTGTGGTTGAAAATTTCTGATTATTAGGGTTTTGCCTTTTTGATAAATTCATGAAAGAGATGTATGGTTTTAGACTTATCATTGTTTATTTTTCAGCTTGTCAATTTTGGTTTCTGTATTCTGAGGCTGTGTTGGTAAGTGCACATCATTTAAAGAGTAGACTGTCTTTTATTTCAAATCACACATTTGCCTTAGTGCCCATTTTGTCTTCTAATATAGTTTATTCACTTGTGGTTTTTGTTAGTGTTTTCCTGGTTAAGCCTTTGTCATTATTTCCTTAAAAACTTTCCAACATAATGATGATTTATTATCTCATGATCAACACACAGTCACATTTTTGCTTGCTTTATCCGATTTTCAAATTTCTTTGTGTTTACCTGAGAAGTTTAATGTTCAGATTGCCTACCATTTTATTGCATTTCTATCTTACATATTTCATATGTCTTTTTCTCAATAAGCTTACATATAAATAAAGTCTTGTTGAAACACAAGTAGAGCTCACTTATTGTATAGCGGCGTTCATCATATCATATCATGATAGAGTGTATAATTGTAACAGAGAACATGTAGTCAATAAAGACAGAAATTTTTGCTATTTACCTTTTACAGAAAAAATTGTCAATCTCTTTTAATGAATTCCAGTATTCCTTGTCTTTCTCCTGTTAGAGTCAGAGACTGTAATTTTGTTTCTATAACAGTTAACCTTACATTAAAAGTCATTCTGAGTCAAATATCTTTACTTTTAAAAGAGAGAATAAATTTGCTACATTTATTTACTTATTTACATGCAAGTGAATGGTTTGTGCTGTGTGTGTGCATGTCGCTATGTACATGTGTGTGCACGTGTGTGTATGTATATGTTACTTTGTGTGTGTATATGTCTGTGTGTGTGCATATCGCTGTGTACATGTGTGTGTATGGGCACATGTGTGTGTATGTCTCTGTGTGCGTGCATGCGTGCTCACTTATACACTCACTCAATCACATGCCCTGCACCTCGCCTGGGCAGCACAGCAGAGCCGACCCTGTTGACAAGGGTGTGGGTGAACCCCTGAGTGTTGGAGATCTGGCCCTGCCCCAAATCCGCCTTGTGGTTGTGTGGGTGGGGGAGAGATGCTTCACCCCACTTCTCACTGCCTGTGGCGGGGTGGGGTGGGGAGAGCTGACCCTGGAGTCATAAGAGCGGGAGAGCTGTCTCTGCCCCTCACCAGTTGCAGTACTTAGATGAGCGGCCCATTTACCTTGCCTGGGCAAGGCTGTGGAGTTGGCCCTGATGGTCCACGTGTGGGAGAGCCTAACCTGAGGACACAAAAGCAAGAGAACTGACCCTGTTCCTTCATTCCTTGCTCATTGCTTCAAGGGGATAATTAGCCAGGGCAAGGCTGGAGAACTCACCTTAGTGGTGAAGACAGGGGAGAGCCGTCTACCTGTCCAACCCTGCAACTACCCAGGCCCAGAACCAGGGTTTTGAGTTGGCCCACCATCCATTTCATCTGTGATCTGCGGGAGCATGTGAAGGGGCTGAACCTGCAGACCCAAAACTGCAGGACCTCCATGACCCAGGGCAACAACAGGATATCCAAGAAGAGTTCCAGTGAGGCCCAGCATTGATAGCCTAACAGAAACCAGAGACCTTGAACCAGGCCAATGACTCTCTGCAATGAACACTTGCAAGTAAAGATATAGGACAAAAGGTTTGCTGTGTGACACACCATGTCACACTCCAGTTTCCGTGATGAGATTTTTCTTTTTTTTTCTTAAATTTTATTTTATTGAGGGGTGTTGCAGGGATAGAGGGTAGAGACAAAGAGACGGGGAAATGAGTGGAACCGAGATGCAGGACGTGAACAACACAAAGAGCAAATAGAAAGGGAGTGGGGGCATAAAGGAGGAACAGAGTGTGGGGATAGGGCGGGGAGAAAGACATAAACCTGGGCTGACACTTGGTGTAGTCAGTACTTTATAAATTAAAATGATTAAAATCCCTACAATATCTGCTTAACGTAAACCCCACGCTGCTGTTCCGTGTCCATTTCCCCTGTCATTTGCAAAATCCCCCTTTCTTTAGCATTTTCAGTTTCTTTACTTCTTCTGGAGTCCAACTCTCAGGCGATAAAAATATTCAGTTTTCTTTTTGTTCAAGATAAAAATATATGTCTCTCTCTTGAGGTCTCTCTCTTGAGGTCTCTCTCTCAAACTCCTCTTTTCTTCTCTCGGCCAAACTAATCTTTTCAAAGTATTCTGCCACAGTCTGCAAGTTCGTAGTCAAATCATTAAATCACCTTTTCTTATCTTTTTAAAGACAGGGTCTCATGTAGCCCAGACTGGTACTGAACTCACGATACAGCTAAAGAGGACTTTGAACTCCCGACCCTCCTGCCTCCACTGCCCAAGTGCTGGATTTCCAAATGTGTGTCTCACACTTGGTCTCCAGTCAACTTTCTACCGTCTTCCGCAAGCTCAGCTGTCGGTGTGACGTTATAGTCAAAATCTCACTCCTGGTAGTTATTGATGACTTTAATCAAGATGAATATTATAGGATGTGCTTCGTAGATATTGATGGTATCAGGGGAAGAATTAGAAAATGAAAAAAGGTGGACTGCTTTTCTAATAAACCTCAGGGTCAAAGATGGCTTGAAGACTCTTTCCAAACCTAAACTCCTGGTCAGTAAACCCTGGACCAGCCTTATGTGTACTATGCTGGCATCCTTCTGTTCTTATGACATTTTGAGTTACCGTGAGATACAGTGCCTAGTGTTTAAATGCTTTCCTCCATATTACTAAGACATTTATGAGATTCATTTTCTGCACTTCAAGTCATCTTGGTTTGCATTACTTTGCCTCCAGCACACTCAGCCCTGGGACAGGGTTGCATTGCTAACCATAGAGCTAACCTAGCTCTCCACTGATTGCTGTTAGATGACTGATCCTTAGCTTTTGCATGAGAAGTTACACAGATAATATTTTTTCCCTTAAGTTAAATGCTATTATGAGACTCAGCTTTAAAAATGAGTACGTGAAGATTATTTTTTAAGGAACTAGCAAACAGCATATTTTACCGACTTGTCCTAGAGATTCCAAAGTGCAGAATTTGAGCATAACTTCCTGTTTTTCAGAGGCATGTGACGGTAGTCTGCAAACATGAGCAAATCTGAGAATGCACTAGTATTTATTTATTGCGCAACCACAAACCCATAGCCTAGTGGATGTTGATATTTTCTGGGAATGACAGCAGACTTTGGAAAAGATAACAGCTAGAAAGAGTCCACCGTGATCCACAGTGCAGAAGCCCAGCTTTTTGCAACAGAAAGGACTAGGAAAAGAGCTTATGTTGGTAATAACTTAGTTCGGGAATGACAGGGCTGACTTTAATTCTGCTTCTAACATCTGGCAGGGTATGGGTAATCTAACCCCTTGCAGGGCCTCCAGTTCCTCAAAAGAGAGGCCTGAATTTCTGATGATTAACATCTTTTCCTATGTTAAGGTCTTTGTTTATTGAATCAGCAACTCCTCTGATCGGAGGAATGTGTATTGGTGGTGGTTCATGTCAGCAGTAGAAGCGTGGGCTATAGAATGAAAAAGAATAAAGGCATGGCCTTTTGACAGAAAGAGGGCTTAATCTTTAATCTGAATATTTGATTCTTATAGATCTGAACTGAATATTTATGTGAATTATTGAAAGAGATTTTGAAGTCCTGAGATATGTTCATCTAAACATTAGGCAAGACCAACATATAAAGTTGCGTAGAACTAGGGGCACTTACACAACTCTCAGTTGTTTGCTTTGAATTTGAGGCCATGACACCAAAATCTCCTTGATGTCCAAAATAAAAAATTCAAATAATTTGAATAATTTGTTTCTTAGATATAGCTGATGGAAGAATTTTCCCTTTGATGCTTATTTTAAAACATGCTAATCTCTGGGGCTGAGGAGCTGGCTCAGGGGTAAAGGGCACTTTCTGCTCCTGAAGAGGACCGGGGTTTGTTCCTAGCACCCATCTGATTCACAAGCATCTGTAACTGCGGTCCCAGAGGATCCGATTCCTTCTTTTGGCCTCTGTGATCAGTGCACAGGCACAAATACAGAGATAACGCTGATATACACAAGGAAAATATACTAAGTCTCCGAATCAAGATATCATATTAGTAAAAATAAAATTTATCTGATGCATGCAATAAGACAGACTAGAAACATTATGTTTAAATGAATTTGCGCCATATATGGGCCTGGTGTGCCACAACAAATTCCTCTCCTGGGCTTTGTTTTGTGTTTGTTTCAGTGAAACTCAGTGTTCTGCATATGTACCCCAATAGGTGATACGAAGCAGAAATTGGGATCATTATGGCTAATCTGAATATGCTGGAAGAGTCTGAGTCTAATGTATAAAACCCACAAACTGAAATGCATGGTAGATCTGGGTGGAGCTGTCTCCTGAAGAATCTGCACCAAGGCTTAAGCAGAGCAACCAGTCATAGTTACCACCTAGCCAACTGCTGCAGCCATGTACAGATAGTATCGGTCAGAACAAAAGTATGTTTTCTTCCCCCCTCAGGGAATTTGATCCACAGGGCCAGGACAAATTCTTGGACTGAAAGATTAGTGGAAAATTTTGGTTGAGGGACAAATGGTTCAGTTGATCCAGTTTTCAATAACTTTCTGAAGAGATGTGGCAAAGCGCAGCTGAAATCCATGGAGATAGAAGGCAATATGTTCTAAGAGTGTGGTTGCGGCTTCATGACACCTCGTCTGCGTGATTGGCTCACATTCTAAAGTTTCCTTTCTTTCAGCTGATAGTGGCTTGCTCTTTCTTCCTGGATCAGAATTATGTGATGTGTAGGCTTGCTAATTTGTTTATTTAAAAGGCATGAAGAGTTCATTATTCATTGTGGCTGACTGGTGATTCTCCCCCCCTCCTTGCATTCAATTCTCTCTCTCTCTCTCTCTCTCTCTCTCTCTCTCTCCCTCTCTCTCCCTCAGACTGGAGTATGAACCCAGAATCTTGTGCATCCTAAGAAGGAATTCTACCACTCAGCGGGGTCCCTCGGTTGACTGAAGCATCGAAAAGATAAAGGTGATATTTAGAGGAACCTTTTGGAAAACTAAGAAGAGCTAGGGTGATCGATTTCAGAGAAAGATGTGGAATAGAGCTTCAGAACCAAACCATCCTGGTGGACTCATTGTTTGGTAGAGCACAGCCACAGACAGGACTCAATTGTGTTCTCAATGGCTCCTTCCCTCTGTGTCTCCTAACTCTTTTCAAGATCAGCCATCTTCATCTTCCTCAATCCAGGTTCCTGGGAAGTTACTGTTTATCCAATGACCATCTTCTCTCCTTGTATTGTCTGCCTCAGGCTGTTGTCAATGCTGTGCGAGCTCCAGACTACAGAGATGGTCCTGGGCTTCTGTTTGGTGTTTGTACTACACCCAGGACTGAGAACGGTGCTTCTCTAGGTCCACACTGCTTATGCAAGTAATATGGTTTATATGTAAAACATTTTATTTCAAGGAATCTGGAAGTTTGGCACATACTAATCAGACACACACTAATTTGTGGCCAGCCTCAAACAAAAATGCTGACGGCCTCCATTGGGAGACATCACTCACGTTAGTGCATTTTTGTATTGCTAGAGAAAGCAACACACTTGAGTATCTCCTCACAAAGGGAGAGGACGTAGACTCTTGTGCGTGGATTTATCTAGATTCTGCCTAGGATCTGACTGTGTGCCTTTGTCATTACATCACTGTAGAAGCTCTTAGCCATGAGCCCAACTGTGTGCTGAGTCCCAAGCATCCTAGAAAGTCTCTGCATATACGGTCGGTCTTGAGCATCTTGACACATACCACTGTAACAAATGAATCCATTTAATTGTTTATGAGGGATGGAGAGAGAGTCATAATTTATGTTCTTCCCAGCTTATGGATGGTCTATAGCAATGGTTCTCAATTTGGACTGCAAAGCAGAATATTCCATAATGCCTACAAAAAATTAGATCCCAATTAAGAATAAGTAGATTTTTAGACTTAGTATAGGGCCTTTGTTTTAAAGTTCTGAGGTGATTCTTTTGTGCAGGGTGGTGACCAATGGTCCTAATTTATTTTCTTCTAAAGAGCTTGAGCCGGCAACTTCCTGTAGGAGGAGTCTGTAGGTTTGGGAGGAATTCACCTAGTACACTGCACATTTCATATTTTTTCATTTTTTTCATGCATTTAATGTTTGCATACTGAAACAAATAATTGGTTTGTTTACTTGAGTTTGTAAGCAATGTTCTTGGAAGAATGTCATTTTAGGGTCCTTGTTAGAGTCAAATTCACAAATTCCTGAAACGTATACAACCAACTGCGCAATATTTTGCCATTAACCCACTTTTCTGAACTTATGAATGCATTGTGTATTGTGAAATAAACAGTCACATCTTCACATCTGTTTCTTGGTGTTTTTCAACAGTCCACACTCAAATGAGCCCTGATCAGAAAGGCTTTGCTAAACAAACAAACAAATAAACAAACAACCCCCAAAACCTTTTTTTTTTTTTGTAGGAAAATTGTAATGGTTGTAATGAGCCAGCTTGCAGTGTTATATGTGCTTTTCTTTTACCAATTTCCCAGCCCAGTGACCTTTTGGGGATGAGGTGAGGGTGTTCACTACATGTCTCCCTATCTTAGGCTTCTTCACAATCTGCAGTGATAAGATCTCAGACAACAGCTGCACAAGCGCTCCAAGCCTCCTGCAGAATCTGTCTGTCAGATCTATTTTACTGCCGTGCTCGGCGCTTAGTGGACGCCTGGTGATGATGTAAGTTGACCTGACCTGATGATAGAACCACTAGACGAAAGAGCTCAACAGGGGAGAGACCCTCACCCCTCTACCATGTGTCTTTCTCTGCAACCCAAGCTACGTCATCAAGTACCTTTAGATCCTAACAGCTGTTTTTCCAGTGGAGGAAACTTTATCCTGCACAAGTCTGGGAGGTATCCTGATGCCCTGCCAGAATGCAGATTTTTCTCATGATGACTTTAGGGCTTGTAATAGCCATCAGCAACCCCAGTCCTACGGTTGCACAGCTTCCATTGCCTTTGCACACTTGGAGGGAAGTGGGATGCAATTGTGCGATTTTAAGGCTTCATCCTTCAGCATCCCATTTATTTTCTTTGCCCCTCCCCCATGTATTAGGTTCTGACTCAAGCTCCCCCCCCCCCTCCCGCGCATTAAAACTTGCTTTGGGAAAGGACAGAAACACTTTCACCCTAAGAACTCCAGACTTAAATCCTCTGATGAGTTTCTGCATTTTAGAAAAGTTCAGTGAGCAAAACATCAGAACACTGAAGTTTCTTTTTGATAGTAGTGATGGCTCAGAAGATTTCCAGACTTCCTGGTCACCTTGGTACATTACTGAAATCTCCTGTCAGTTTGTCCCATGTGATTAGCCTTTCTGGGCCAGAGATGTTTAGACTTGAGCTATAGATAGATTGTCTTTAGGCATAAGCATTCCAGAGGAGAAAACCTCAACTCTGACACCATTACTCTGGTCTCCAAAGCACTTCATTTCATAATTTCATGTTTTCCTTCTCACATGTCAACCAGTGCATCTGGCAGCTGTGTTGCAGAGTCAGCAAGAGAGGCCCTGTTTTCACTTCATGGCCTGGCTTCGTGTTAAGTTTGAACAAGAGTTCTCAGGCCTGACTCTGCCTTTGGAAGTGTTCCCAAACATAAGAACCCTAAAGTTGCATAAAATTATACACCAAGAAGCTAAAGAAAAAAAAAGATTGTTTAAATTAAACACCATGAGATCCGAAGACATTCTTACGTGTAGGTTACTTTTAATTTTAGAAAGCAAATTTAATAGATAACTAACAGCAAAACCATGCCAAACATTCTGTGAAAGTAATATGCAGAATGACCTCATTGTGGTAAAATACAGGATGCATAAATATACATGGGCTTGCCAAGATCAGATGTTTTGCTGAGTGTTGTTTTATATGTATAACTGAGAAAAATCCAGAGAGGTACTTTTTACTTGCCCCCTTCATATCCACATTCGCTATGGTACCAATCACGAAAGCAAGTTATATAATCAAGCTACATGCCCATCAGTAAATCAACGGATCAAGATAATGTGACGCACATACATATTAGGGGTTAGTTGGAAGAGAATCAACAACAAAATTATCGCAGTTCTACAATGAAGCCTTTGGTTCGGTGTGCTAATTAAAAAAATAAACCAGCAAAAAGGATGGAAGTGTAGATCATTATGTGCTAAGCACAATAGACAGAGTCATAAAGGCAAATATCACATGGCTCCTCTATTATCTAGAAGCTACATTTGAAATGTATGTGCTTAAGAAAGTGAAGTAGACGGGCATAATTTAGGTGGAGGTGGGCAGACCAGATAGAAGGATAAGAGGAATAAGAAAGGGTCACGGGAAGGGAATTGAGCAAATTTATACAAGAAAATGTCATAAGGAAACCCACCACACTGTATAATGAAGACAGGCTAAAAAGAAAAGGCGAAAAAGTAATTTTTGTATCTGCTTTTGTCAGGAAAACTGGACCATGATTTCTTTCTTTTTAAAAACATGGTCACGCTGTCAAATTGTCTTCTAAATATTTATATTTATCCCTAAGTGCTGGGCTGTTCTCAGTCTTGGTGAGTGGATGGCAGTCGGTGTAGAGACTCATAGCTAGTCAAAGAGTAAAGGAAGTTCTTAAACACGTGTACATATGAGCAGCACTAAATGGATTCAGTAGGATGTACATGTGTGTATGCACAAATATACACATAATAGTTATTATAGAAAAAGAGGTCATGAATTTGAAAGGGAGTTGGGAATGGGAGGAAGTGGAGAGGAAATAGGAAGGATGGAAATGATATAAATTTCACATATGAAGTTATCAAAAATCAAATGTTTAAATAATATAGGAATAAATGACTACAAATGCTCAACCCTAAATAGGATGTTTTTGTTGTTTATTTTTGAGACAGGATTTCACTGTGTAGACCTGGCTGACCTAGGACTTGAAATGTAGACCAGTATATCCTTGAACTAACAGAGTTCTGCCTGCTTCTGCCTTATGAGTACTGGGATCAAAGGCGTGCACTACCATACCTGGTTAAACAAGACGTCTTCGTCAAACATCCCTACCACAACAAGGCTCAGGGAACATCTTGGAAGAAGCCATAAGAATGTCACAGCTGGAGGATGGATGGGAGGAGTGCTGTAAAATGGTCTCATCTGGACATGGTTAATGCACTTGTGACCATGGCAGCTGTGGTTGCCCGAGTAAAGCCTGCACAAGATCAAGCCAACAAAAATTTCAGCATGCTTAGGAGGTTACTTATGTGGTCTTATCTTATTTACTTTGCTTTTGCTAAAATAAGAAATAACCAAGGCAATTTATATAAGAAAGAGTTTATTTGGAGCTTACAATTTCAGAGGCTTAGAGTCCATGAACTTCGTGGTGGCGGGAAGCATGGCAGCAGACAAATTGGACAGGCATGTTGCTAGAACAGTAACAACATCTTGAGACAAAACCACCTGACAGAGAGAGAGAGAGAGAGAGAGAGAGAGAGAGAGAGAGAGAGAAAGAGAGAGAGAGAACTGGCATTGGTGTAGGATTTAGGAACCTCAAAGCCTGCCTTTAGTGACACACCTCCTCCAACAAGGCCACACCTTCTAATCCTTCCCAAACAGTTTCACTAACTTGGGACCAAGTAGTGAAATATCTGAGCCTTTGGGGGCCATTCTCATTCAGACCACCACAGGCTTGACCTGTAACTAAGGAGCTATTGATAGTCGCTGGTTGTTGGGGGAAGGAGAATCAGTCTTCTTTAAGGTTTTGATTTGACCACTGGTTTGCTATTCTTGCTCCAGCTACTGCCCTCACCTATGCACATATGGACAGTACTCAATGGACTTAGTGTGTGTGGAAGAGTAATTAAAAGAAGGAGAAAACCCTAAACAAAATATATTTTTAGTTTATTATTGGAAGATTTCATGTGTGTATGCAATGTATTCTGGTCATACTCTTTTGCCCTCTGCTAACTCCTTTAAGAGTCCTCCTCCACACCCCTCCCAACTTCATACACTTAAAAAAATAATAAAGCACTGAACCTAATTCATGGTAGAGAGTCCTTAATATGCTCAGTTTGCAACTGACAAAACTGAGGTCAAGTTTAGTCAGTTTGACCAGTCATACCGATGATACATTAGAGAATCCCATAGTCATAGACTACTTTGACTCATTGTATCTACCTACAGAGGTGAACTTTGGTTAATAAACAATGGTTGGTGAAGGATAATGGGTCATTTATACTGTCTTTGTTTTGATTATGCATATATTCTAGATTTATGTCCAATAATTTTTTTGATTAATAAGAGATTATTATTCTTATTAATTTTGCATTGTTGGTGATGGAAACCAAGTTCTTTTACATTCTAGGAAAAAGAATTTTTCTCTTCTCCCTTTTCTAGACATTTGCAAACTTTTCCATGGAATTCCTAGAACACGGGAAACTTCTTATCTTGGGTTGGTTTTATTTTAGTAATGCCTAAGAGATAATTAATTCTATGGATAAATAAATAAGACAAGTAATGGCACTCTTGCCTTTGTTTCTTATACGGCTGCCTAACATATGGCCCCAGAACTTTGCCACTTAAAGCCTAAAGCATCACACATCTCATTGCACAGTTTCTGGAGCTACAACTCTGTCTTTAAGTTTCCTATTTAAAAGTTGCAATAAAAATGATAGTAGGGTTGAAGTCTCTGCTGATGTTCTAAATTCTGTATGTAGGGTTTTCCCTTTTTTTTCTATTTTATTGAAACTGAGTCTCTCTGTGTGGCCTGGAGCACAGAATCTTCCTGCCTTATCCTCCCAAGGGCTGGGATTCCCAGTGTGTACCACGTGTCTGGTTTGCCCTGAGGTTTCTACGCCTGTAAAGTAAGGTTCAGATCTGCTTCTTCACAGTGCTGAGAACTTGGTCCAAGTCAAGTGTCACCTGATAGCTGGGACTAGGGTCAGGTGTGTGGTTCCCAGCCTTGGGGACCTAAATCTCAGAGAGCATGACTTCAGTCACCAGTACCTGGAACAGAGTGACGGCTTAATAAATGTTCACTTACTTATAAACACATTAAAACACATATACACACGCACACACACACACACACACACAAACACACACACACACACACACACACACACACACCAGAAGGAGGAACACAATCAGCTTTGCTACTAAGCAACTCATCTTAATGTCTCATATGAATCCAGGTTCCCCCGGGGTGTCAGTACCAGGCTAAACAATTGTCTCTGAGTGAATTCAAAATGGCCACCATGCGTCTTCCAAAGATTCAAGTTTGCTAGAGAAGCTGATTGCAAACCATGTCAGTTTCGTCTGCTGCAATTTACCAAGTCATCCCAA